AGCAAAATAACTGGAAAGCAAAGGGCATTCAGCACTAAAAGCGTTCGTACCTGGGATGTACATGGGGGCTAGATGCGCTCTGTATTGGTGTGTTTCTAGGTTTTTGAAGGCCGTACGAGACACAGTCAAAACAGACTGATGTGTGCTGGGACAATGCCTGGTCACAGCCACAGTGTCTTCATCCAGCTGATCCACGTAAACCTGTGACATGCACGATGAACAGATATAAAGACACAGACAGTCATGTGCACATAAGACTGATGGTGGTGTAGTCAAGTGGTAAGAACAGGTTTAAACCCTACAATGGGTCCTACCACCCTAGTAAACACTTTACAGCTCAAATAACACATATCTGAATACTGAAAGAAATCATTTACAGCGGTTTGAAAAAGTATTTGGATAGTTAAAGATGTGTGAATGTCTTTGGATTAGATAGTAAAACTCAGTGGTATTTATTTTAAAGAAATAAAGTACACTTTTTAAGCAAAATAATTAACAAAAATAGTTTTTTAATGTTAAAATCTAGATATGTTGTTCAAAATGAACTCAAAAATATCTGATTTCTTTATTGTTGTCAAATGTTAGTAGAAATGCAAAAAGAGCTCATAAAAGTTAAGTTTGTCCTGAGAAAAGGTCATTTGTTTGCAGATGCAACTCTACTGAATAATTCATGTATTCATATACGTTTCTTTCATTTTTTTATTCATACATTTTTGGTTAAAAATGATTAAACATAAGGTTTATACACAAAAGGTGTATTATCTTGAAAATAAAAAAAGAGAACGGAAAAAAGTCAAATTTGTAGAGATTAATTAGAGATATAATAAACAGATACTTTTTTTTAAGTGTCTCTTAAAAGTTCAAAATTTGGGCCACTATAAGTGTTTTAAATAAACCGGTTTCACATTTCTTATTTTAAAAAGACTTTCCATCCTAAGCTCATCTCTCTATAAACAACTTTGATATGAGGGACAAGCTGAAAATATTTCCAACAGCATGTCTCAGATGTTACGTCTGAACCTGAAACATTTCTTTAATCTAAATTTAACCCAAGGGAATAAAACTGTCCGGCAAAGTGACTAATGAGTTTACTCAGTAGTTAATAAAGAACTCGATTACCAGTATCAAAGTCTCCTTCTGCTGTTAGAGGTTGGGACTCATAATATATTTTTTTGATATCTGTTATGAGTAAACATGATCCTGACCTGGGTGAAGCCCTTCTCTGCCAGCTCTTGGTGGAGTTTGTTGAGGGCAAGTTTTCCTGCCATTATACCAGTCTGGAGGTTCACCTCCCCAACAGAAGAGGGCAGTGCATCAGGATTCCACTTGGGGTACAAACGCTCTTCCTTTACTACTGAAATCTGAAGAAAAAACACGTTTGGTTAGGTTTAGTAGTCAGCTTGTGCTGGTAGACAATGTACCAACACCATTATGTGGACAAAACACATTTTTGCATACACGTTTGCAACATATTTGCCTGTTTGAGGCAAGGAATTCTAAAATTAAAAACCATGGAGGGGAGGGCCTTTTCATACAATGCGCTTAAGTTATGGAACTCAATACCTGCATAGATTAGGAATGCTGCTTCGTTGGATTGTTTTAAGAAACTTCTTAAGACACATCTTTTAAGTAATGTTTTTAACTTTTAATTTATTGCTGTATTTTGATATTATGTATTTGAGAAAGGCGCATCATAAATAAAATGTATTATTATTATTAATACAGAGTGATCAGTCACAAAGCATTTATGGCTCAGATGACTGGCTCAAAAATTATTTCAGAAACTGTGAAGAAAAGATGGCAGCATCCAGGTTGTGCTTGTGCTTGTGCTTGTGCTTGTGCAGTGTTGCATTTACAGTGGAGTAACCAATAGCTTTCTACAGGTATATTAGAACCCCCGGGAAACATTTTGATGTGAAAAGAAGGGAAAAAATAATAACAGAAAGGCTTTTGTTTATTAATGAAAACTGACCCAGATACAAACCGAGTGTGAAGAACAGAAATGATTTGTAGAGGGAGAACAAAGGATTCTTGTTACATAATTGGGAGCTGGCAGAGAAGGGCTCACCCGTAAACATTTTTTTAAAAATCTGTCATAAAAATCATGAAGGAGAAATGTAATATGATATTTATGTAACAAAACAAAATCTCAACTTTAGCTGGCATTCAAAAGTTTGGGGTCGTCTCTTATTGTATGCTCACCAAGGCTGCAATTATTTGATCAAAATTACAGTAAAAACAGCAATATTGTGAAATATTATTAAATTTTTTAAAATGTTTTTTTAATTATGATTTTAATACATTTTACAATGTAGTTTAATCCTGTGATGGCAAGCTGAATTTTCAGCATCATAGTCTTTAGTGTCACACGATCCTTCAGAAATCATTCTGCTGATTTAGTGCTCAGAAAACATTTCTTATTATTGTCATTGTGAAAACAGTTGTGCTGCTTAATATTTTTTGTGGAAACTGTGATCATTTTTCCAGAATTCTTCAATGAATAGAAAGTTTAAAAAGACAACAAGTCGTAATGTCACTTTTGATCAATTTAATGCATCTTTGCTGAATAAAAGTATTAATTTTTTTTTTTTTTTAAATCTTTCTGACCCCAAACATTTTATGCTCATGTATGATCGAAAAGCAGAAAAATGCTCCCTTCGAAGAAAGTAGAAGTCAACATGAAATGTCCAAATCCAAAGTTTGTGCAACACTAAGATGTTTCCATCTGATTATGACTTATAATAAGCACTGCAATGATTCAATATATTCTTTGTCATCTTAAGGCATTCCTTGAATGTGTTTTGGAATATTAGATATGACATCATGGTGACTTGGAAGCAGGGCCGCATAATTATCATAAATATAATATATATATATATATATATATACATATATATAATCATAATATATAGTGGTAAAATCATAATTGTTGATTATTCCCTTGAAGTTGTAATGCAATTTTAATTAATTTGACTTGGAAGCAGGGCCGCATAATTATCATAAATATAATATATATATATATATATATATATATATATATATATATATATATATAATCATAATATATAGTGGTAAAATCATAATTGTTGATTATTCCCTTGAAGTTGTAATGCAATTTCAATTAATTGGGTAGCCCTACTTGGAAGCCTTGCAACCAGTTTTCTTAGAAGGTGCCTTTGCACTAAAATGCCATCTGTTTAATCACTGACTGATTGGAAGCAAGGCCTTAGGTTTCAGACACAACAAAATCACTGCAGAGATTTGTACCTGTTGAGGTACGAGCTCATCATATCCTCTAGTGCTGCCTGAGGCACAGCAGGCCATAGAGACGATAGCAGTACTGGCTAAAGCATCAAACACTGAACGAACCTACAAGAAAAACTGATTTTAATTAAAAATATATATATATTACATAGTATAAAATACACAGTAAAACAAGTAATAATTACCTCAACATATAAAACACAAAAATAAAAACACTTTACAGGATGTTAAGTCTGAAATACTGTAGGATGTGTTGGCCATTCATATTCATATGCTTTTTGCCATCAGTTACTTTCACTGACCTGAATGGGACATTCGTTGTCATGGGTAACATCCAAAAACATGGCGTGAGCAACTGATGGCACTAAAGGCCTGAGGTTTGGCTGTACGAATGAACCTACAGGCTCCCCTCCAAAACGATAAACGAGTCGACCTTCCTCATGGCTGTCCCCGGCACTCATGGCCTCTGATGATGACAGAACAGATCTTCTCAGGAAATGGGATTTTTCATAAAAAGGTCAAACTTTACATAACAGGGTTGATGTTGCAGTATAATCATTTTTTATATATATATAACTACGAGCACTACTCTCACTAGTATATTTAATTTGTCTAACAGTGTGTGTGTATACA